ACTTGTTTTGGATTCATTGGTTTTTCCACGATGACGTGTGGATTTTCTGAGCCCAAGATACGACAATTTTGCTTACTGACATATCCTCCGAGGTAGAAATGAACTTGAAAAAAATGAAAAAGGATGATTTTTCGGTAGAAATGCTCATCTTCGATCAAGCGGTCTTCGGCTCATTGAGCAAACCGAAAACGCATCGGATGGTCATGCGGCTTCAGATCTCGCACTAATTGAACTTTGTACGCATTCATACCGAGATCTTTATGCAAAATTCTTCTCAAAAAAGTGCGTGAAATGTTCAATTCTTGAGAACGATGACGAGTTGATGTTTATGGTTGTTCACGCACACTCTGAGCAACAGCAGCGATGTTTTCGGTTGAGCGCACTGAACGAGTACGTACACGGGTTGTTTAATCCAACAACGGTCCAGTTTCATGAACTCGCTTCATAAATTGATCCACAAACTGCGTTTTTGGCAGGTCAAAATTTTTTCGTAAATATCTTAGTTTGCGTAGAAGACTTTGGAAATAAGTTTTTAATATTTCCCAACTTTGTACAAGCGAAAAGCAACCCATTTCATAAATGTCAATCACAAAACAAAGTTTTCGGAACCAATGTTATCGGAAATGTCATGTCAACCTTAAATTAACCTAATTCCAAACGTTAAATGGCCCACCCTTTACGAGTAAATTATTATAATACTTAAGAAAATATTGGCTAGCAAATATGCTTACTAAATACCAAAATTTCATAAGTAAAGACCATCTATACCTACTGTATTAGTGATATTATTTTCTTGAAGACAGTAACACAATTTGGTAACTAATTGCGATTGGGGGCCGTATCTAGCAGTAGACCGCTATAATGATTATGACGATGTAGTTTACGCAAAAGTAAATACACTAGCAAACGCAGGGGTTGAGTCTCAAATTTCATATCACACTAGATACCCGAAATCGCTTTAACTATAATATTTAATATATCTTCAGCAACTCATTGATGTTGATAACGCATCATTTCCAGACCAGCAGCTTGAAAACAACTTCTAATGCAACGGTGTAGAGTTTCGGAGACATAACGTCATCCTGTCTTACACCTCCTAATAGTTGGATAGGTTTCGCATTCTGATTCTGTATTCGGATAGCCATCGTAGCCCTTACTAAACAAACACTTGAGTATTTAGTTATAACGACATTAGACTTAGTGCCGTTAAAGAGACTGTAACTTCACCCGAATTCGGACGAAATCCAAAACTTTCTCATAGTACATTTATACATACTCGCAAGGCAAAGTGGTAGACTGTAGTCTTCGGTCGTTTGTACAATATGTTGAAGGGTATGTAAGTGATCTATGGTATTAAGCTGTTTCGGAAACCGGCTTGTTCGAGAAGCTGGAAGTCGTGCGAGACAATTCGTAATGAGTACCGAAAACAGCACATAGCCGCAGCTCTGAATGGAAATGGTTGTACAGGTTTTTCACGATTATTGTTTATTATCATTCTATTGTTTGTTATTAGATATTACTCTAGAGTAATCTAGAGTAATCTAAGTGTATAGATGACTCGGGTATGTTATGCTCGCTTAAACTTCTTTACTTGTGGCAGCATCGTAAGATAGGATCATCTACTTCCCTTTAAAATGGGCGAGGAGGGCGACGGCTGCCACATGCGTCAACTTGTAAACAGGTGCTGCTTGTGGCTTGTGGTTGTGGTACTGGTTTGCTCGGGTGTGTAACACATTTATTAGTTTTATGTTCGAAAGTATTTTTTGTTGTGAAATTATTATAGATCATGATTTCCTTACCTATGAGACTAAATCCTTTTCATTTTTGACTAAGAATATTGTATCATTGTCCTTTAAAAAGGTAAAAAGGATATAAGCGAAGTTTTGTTTCGCCGCTTTTTCTCTAACCACGTTCACGTTTTGAAATGGTAGTAGTTAAAAAAAACATGAGTGCAGTTCACATGCTGTAAAAGTGAAACCTGAAGAAAAGAAGACCGGTAGGCGTATTACGTATCTTGCAGAAGGCTAGCGATAGCGAAATTAGAACAATAATTGCGGATAAATCGCAGTTTCGTATTAAGTATCAGCGATAACCAAGCTAACTAGCGACAGCGCTGCCTTGTGGTTGCTAGTTAGCTAGGGCTTGGTTATCACTGGTACGTAATACGAATCTGCGATTTATCAGCAATTATTGTTCTAATTTCGCTATCGCTAGCCTTCTGCGAGATACGTAATACGCCTACGGGCTAACAGGAAACACTGTATACTGTATTTTATTTTATTCTCTCGCAGGCTAAATCCTATAGATGCATATGTTTGTCTCTTTTTAGTGACGCTATTTCGTTTCTTCGAGTTTCAAATCACAACTATTCTAAAGAAGTTTTGACTTTAAAAACCTGTTGAAGTTTGACATACGAAATTATAATTACATCGATAAATAGGGAGTGTTAATTTCATTATAATAGACTTATTATTTCTAAATGTGTCCTCATAATACAGCGGCAGTTATTCTTAAACAGATATGTGTAAGGGATCGTGTTCACATGCGCAAAGCTGACATGACACGACGTAATAAACGATAGGTGTGTTATAAAATAAAACAGGCAACGTGAACCGGTCCGACTATGATGATCTTACAGCAACTCAATTGTAAGTACAGAGAATAAAATATAAGTATACACATATTACGTCAACGCAATGTGGAAAATTATTAATATTTATCGCTGGGCATATTCGCGGTGAATTAGCAACGGTTTAGAAAATAGTATGCACCAGAAAAATATTATTATTCACGTCCCATTAGACACAGATTAGAAGTAAGGATATCGATAACCACGGTTGGGAAAAACAAAGTTTTATTGGATTTTTACGAAAACATTTAAAGAGGATTGTGAATTTGTAAATTTTCATACAAAAAGCGATAACCCCCCGTAAACCATAGTTGGTAATGTTGTAAATATAATGAAAAACTAGGTCCGTACGTTTTTATTTTAAAGAAATTTTATGATATAAGTTATTAGCGTCTATATATCTCTATTTTTTTTAAATTGTCTAATTTCGTAAAGGTTGTGGGGGGAGGGGTGGACAGCACTGCGCAATCCTCTTAGAAAACGTATAAATAGTCTCCATCTATTCATGGACGTTTAATAAGACAGGACGCCAGCTAGAATATAGTGTAGGTGAATTCACTTCGAATAAATTTGTCTCCGGATGAGATCCTAGAAAAATTGCGCAACGTAGAAGTTAGAGACTCTGACCAATAGACCATGTGTTTATGAATATCAATCATGACACCGAATAAAAGATGAGTAGTCATTGCTAAAGACTAAAAGACCATCATAACTAAACCTTTCATCTAAGACGCTAGACGCGGGTGACGTGCGAAGTCCATTTAAGCACTCAACTCAACTGCGTCAACACAACTCAAAATGACAAATACCATTTACGACAATGACGATATCTATGGGGGAGACCACGGAGCAAATACAAAGATGTGTTGTAATTAGATTTCGCTATGTAACAACGCGTGACAATTTGCGGGATGAGGAGATGTTAAGTCATGCCCACTTTACTATTTTAGATCTACCGATAAATAGTAAAACTACTCGCATCATTACATATCGATGTTGCAATGTAGTTTAGCTACCTTGACGATAGATGGCGGCCTGTTTACAAAATTATTATAAAAACTATAAAAATAGTATTTTGGCGATTAAAAATTCTTTAGGACTGAATGCGAAACAAATTTCAATACCTCCGTATGATTATTTTACCAATACTGAGTTTTATGTACCTTTATATTTTTAGTTCCCATAACACAAAATGTTGCCATCTAGTGTCGAATATATTTTTAACATTTGAAAGCCGACGCAGAGGTTTTTCTAGAACCTTTTTAATAAATTAGGTATAAAATTACTTACAAATGAAATGTGACGCAATCCATAGCATTAGAGCGACTATCTCAGTAGTTTTTACACGATAAAACACAACACTTTCATCCTTTTCTTCTTAATATTATGAAAATACACCGATTTGCGTTTTTCAAAATAAGCGCACAGGACGAACGCAGACAGTATACTAAGTAAAGTCACGCCCACTGTGATGACGTCAGGACCTAGTCAGAACCACAATGCACAGTTGCTTATGCCATCTCCTCTTTGTATTTGCTCCGTGGGGGAGACTAATGCTTGGAGTGGACTTTGGACTGTCATAAATTTATGTCTACCATAAAAACGCAACGCCCCACTGTAACAACGGCCAGCGTACTCATACTAAAGAGAGGAAAAATCCCCCTGATATAATTTCGTCGCTACATGACAGATTAAGGATAGCAGAGAAAATAAAAAGGTTGACTGGTAGAGAATGCCTCAGGCGTTAAATCCAGGTTTAGTTTTGTAGTTAAGTTTAAACAAATAAAAATAATAAAAAATATTCCATCAATCCACTTTTTTCATAAGCGCCGGAAATGTCAGTAATAATCAGTGATCGATTAAGGGCGGAATAACTAAATAAAATTTCAGTAGCTGCTAGAGATAAAAATATCTATTGTACTCGTAGTAAAACAACGTCAAGGTTCGAGTCATCTGGTACTGCGAAAGTCGATTCGCCTGCACGATCTTTAACCTACGTGTTTATGAATCATTGTGTAAATAATAGCAAGTACTTATAAGAACACAAAATCATCAGTTAATAATTCTAATATCACTAGTTTTTTTTAATTTAACATTTCCTTGTGTAGATAAAAAGGACTTCTGTTCATAAACGTTATTTTAAACTTAATAAATATCCATGAGTCATTCTACATATATAAATTTTTGCTGGTTTTAAACTTGTTTTAGTACACTATAAGTTTTTTTTAATATTTCCAATGTAATTTGCCGAAAATCAGGTAAAGGCATTAGAAACATTTAAATACTTATCATAAATTATGAAACATTTTAGTTTTATAACACCATCACGATTGAACGTGCAACTTTAGCATTAATAGAATTTCATACTAGCCTGGGTATAGACGAGAGGTACGCACACAGTGTCGTACCCAATTAGTGCCCCCAACCGCCTTCGTATGTCCGACAGCTCCACCAGCAATGTTTGAACTATATGGTCGCTTGTGATTAAGCCTTCTTTGCGAGCTCTGTTAATTATATTTGTGGCCCATACCAGAGGCATCCAGTATTTTGACATTGGACTTTTTCCGTCCATCTTCTCGAACACTTTCCTTTCGCTCTCAAGCATAAGACCTGAAAAAAGACAAACATTGACTTTGGCTTCTCATTGTGCTACCTTGGATCGTTGTATGTACTGTGCACTTACCGGAGTCCACGACGTGTTGCCAAGTCGGGAACCTTCTCTTAACTCGAAGTGACACCCTTTGCAGCGTGATGACGTAAGCTAAGATAGCGTATCTGACTATGTTTCTTCTCATTAGTCTACCAGTCTCGTCCTGTGAACCATTATCGTAACATTTGTAATTATTTTAAGGCCTATATAAAATACAATTAAAAAAGCGTGCCATTGATGTAAAATAAATATCTATAGAAGTTAATTTCGAGAACTGCTAAACAATTGCAAATATAGTTTTTCGCATTAGCTCATTGTAAACAAGGAAACGCTAGCATATAATATAACAAGATAACGTCGTTTCTAAGGAAAAATAATAAAACAATGCTTGCGTATTGTCCGTCCATATTCGCGACAAAACATCTTTTGTTTCAGATGGCTTTATGTACTTTTTAATTATCATATACCTAACACAAAAATATTTTTAAAGCTGTATGGGTTAAATACAACATAAATAAATTAACGATAACAGTTGATGAATTATAACAGTTTCACTTTTATGTTCGGTTAGACATACAGGTGGTGTCACAGTCACTTTGACTTAAAGTGATAGAGACAGCACGAGACTACGGCATTTTAAAATTGAGTAGCATTTGAGTATTTGGGCATTAGAGCCATAGAACCTACGTATTATTTATGACAAATATCAATGACGACTAACATCTATTAATCGTGAAAAAGTAACATCTATGAGTCGTTTAGAATACGTGAGACTATAGAATTAAAAAAAAAAACGTTCTATATTTAATACTGAACATCACTATCGGCTTGGGATTCTGTAGTTAATAAATTAAATTTTAAATTATAATATATAATATGACAAAATTCGTTAAATTACTTATAGAATATTTCTATAAATTTAAAAAATCTAGTCATGGAAGAAAGATTGCATATTAGATTATAGTAAAATTAAAAATACTACGTATGGAAAATGAATACCTAATTACAAATGTCAATGTAATTACTTCAAATAAAGCTGTTTCAAAACTGCTTACTTTAAAAAATAATGCGAGTATAACCTTGTTTTTTGAAGTACTGTATTTTCACACAGCTGTTCTAATAGAATTAATTACAAAGAGAGAGAGAGGGAAAATATGTAAAATTTTGTCAATAAGTATCGGTACGTCAAAACATTTTAATTTATAAATATAAATTAAAATGTAATAATAATTTTTTTTCTTAATCATTCATTAAAATAATAGTTCAAGAGTATTTTAACGCTAATAATTAAAATAAGAATAGATTTTAATAAAATGCTTGGACTGACGATAATATTTTAATTGTGTCAGACAAATTATATAGTTATGATGAATTCATCAAGGTGTTCAGTCCAATTATTTTAATTAATTTAATTCCTGAGTAATTACCTACATGACTAATTATTTCATATTAAATAGAAGTCGATTTTGATAGCATGTATATTATAATACAATACTAGCTGTTTCCCGCGACTTTATCCGCGTGGATATTATTACGATTGGATTTCATAGGTTTTCATTTTTTTGCCCGGAACCCCAATTCTTTATTATATTTTCTAGCCTGAGTTACTTCTTCTAACGTCAGCTATCTGCCAGTGATCTGATCAGAGTCCCGTCAAAATCGGTCGAGTCATTTCAGAGATCAGCCGGAACAAACATACAGGCAGAAAAGCTGATAATCTGACATTACAAACAGCCACTTCAATTTTATTTATTTGTATGGATTGGAGTAAGAAAAATGAACTGAAACAACTAGCCGCCTCGTTGGTCCGGTGACCGTAAGTGCGTCTGTTTTTCTTGTGGTCCCGGGTTTGAATTCCAAGGGGCCAAAATCAGTTTTTAGGTTTTTCACTCAAGAAATTAACGGTAGCAGCCCGCAGTCAGGAAGTGTTTCACCCTCGTGCCTCGGAGAGCAAGTAAAGCTACACGCCACCGTGACTGATATTCGGTATGGAGGACATTATTATAATACACGGTGTGAAATTGGCAACGTTCTTAAAATTTAAACCATTTTCAAGAGGTTCATTTATTTTGTCTAAATGTTTTTTTCAAAGACCTACTTCTGATTATTTCTAGTCCAAATATAAAACATATGATTCGACAATGACACAACAACTATTATTCCTATTCAACAAACTTCCGATGTTTCGTTTGCCAGTGATTTGTTACTACGTTGTAGGCCGCGAGTTCGATCTACATGGTCTACAAACCAATGTGTTCCCGTTTTGCCACGTAAAGTTTATGTTTAGAAACACCTCCATGGCTCTGAAAAACAGGTAAGGTTTTTAAATAAACTTAAAAAAAGAAAGTGCCCGGAAAATTACAAGTTAATAAAGGAAATGGAATTTGTCTAATTGCAATAATTTTAATAATTTCACTAAATCTGTCGTATATGTTTTTTGATACGAGATATGATTCCTTCAGGAGTTTTATGTGCGGGATATAGAAAACAAAATTTACGTATTTAACAAACACTAAATTTATATATAATCTACTACTTTCGCCAAATTTTTTTAGGTGACAGAGCCACGCTGCAGCTATATTATGGTTGTAGCACGAATGGGTAGGGCCACGCTTTCACAGAATATTAGCGTGAAATAGCAGCTTAATGCTGTGTTTCGTATGATAGCGTACTGGAAACGAGGAATTCTATCTCAGTCCTCAGAGGTGACAACGCATCTGCATTTTGATCCTTAAGCGAGGATAAATGTAGATGTCTATGGGCCACAGCATCCACTAACCATAAGGTGGACTGTGTGCTCGTTCGTCACCATTAATTTATATAAAAAAAAAATATCTAAAAACTACTCGACGATTATGGAATGAATTCCTCAAAGACCTACGAACAACATTTCCGTCGATGATTCTATATTGCACTTAATCTCTATATATATAAAAATCAATTGCTGTCCGTTAGTCTCGCTAAAACTCGAAGCTGACTTGACGTGACGTGTCTGTGTGACGTGTCTGTCTGTGTGTGTGTGTTTCCCCTGCATGGTTTCGATTCACAATTGGACCCGGATCTCGACAACAGCTCCACCGAGCTGTTGTCGAGATCCAGACTTCACCCGTACGACGCGGGGCAGATCGCTACTATAGTAACACTTTGATTTGCATGTTGTTTTTAACATTATACGGCAATACTACAAATAAACACGTAGTAATAACAAATAAAGTACCTTGTAGTGGCGGTGTAAGAATAATGCAAAACCCCTATCATCCCGTGGGTGTCGTAAGAGGCGCTACATAGAAACAAATCACTTTTTATACGTGGTAGAGCCACGCTGCAGCTATATTAGTAGTATATCTGTAGCACGAATGGGCCGGCTCGATCGGGGAAGGACAACGCTCTCACAGAATACCAGCGTAAAATAGCTGCTTAACACTGATGTGTTTCGTATAGTGAGTGTAGAGAACCGGAGACCCTTTTTACTGGAAAAGAGGCATTCCAGCTTAGCCCTCACGGGTGACAACGCATCTGCATTTTGATTCGCAAACGAAGATAGATGTAGATGTCTATGGGCCACAGCAACCACTTATCATCAGGTGGACTGTGTGCTCGTTTGTCACCCTATCCTATAAAAAAAATCAGGAGATGGACAGCAACGTTTTCTGCATCTATAATATAAAAATGAATCGCTTAATGTGTTGCTAAGCGGAAATCTCGAGAGCTGCTGAACCGATTTCGATAATTCTCTTTCTATAATATTCCTTGAAGTACGAAGATGGTTCTTACGAAGAGAAAAATTTAAAAAATTGCCTGAAAATGTCTAAAAACAACACTTTTCTATATTCCTATACAAAAGATTCGTAATAATACTTAAAAGTCAATTTGAACTTTAATACTATATAATAAGGTTTAAGTGTTAGTGAAGGAGTTCCGGGAAGGCGAAACAATTGAGTGACATTAGTATCGTATAAATATTAATGTCAATATTTATAAGATGGTAACATTACTCAAAAATAAAATTAGGGTCCCGTGAAAAAAAAATTGATATCCATAAATCGTAGTAAAGTCACGGGGAATAAAACTAAAAAACCGCGATTGCGAACCCTTCTGCCAGGTGTGGCAACGATGGCAAATATTCTCCCTATGTGTCAATGTATGGTGAAGGGCTATGGTCAACAGTGGACTTTAGGCTGTAACATTAACTACCAATCAATAGACCAAAATATATAGAATATTAAAATAGACCAATAGGGCCGCTACTATTATAACTGTAACGGAAAATATGGTCACTTAACATGAAAAAATTTTCAAGTAAGTTGACCGTCCATTGAAGTTTCAGATAAACAAAGTGGTAAAATTAAAAATTTTGTACAACCGACTTTAATATAAAATATATCAGAACGTTATCAATGTAGTCGACGTCAATTAAATACGCATTATTAAGGATAACTCAAAACTACTGGTCGGATATTGACCAAATTTATATGGAACCAAATGAGAAGCACCAGCTTTCAAATAGAAAGAATCTTCAAAATCTATTCACCTAGAAAAAAGTTCTAAGGTAACACACATAAAAAGTACAGTCGAATTAAGAATCTCCTCTTTTTCTGAAGGCGTTAGAAAAACTGAATGCAATTTTCCACGTTCGATTTACTATTGAGTTGTAATCGGCGAATAAACTTATTAGTAAAGTACTTGCCATTTTATTTCTATAACGATTGGCTGTTACTCGTAAACATCGAATAGTTAGTTATGACAGCTGTTAACGATTGCTTGTTTTGAGTTGTGTTTGTAAAACAAATAATTATTATTACTACCTAAAGAAATGTTTGAATACATACGTACGTTACGTATACGCAATACTTTATCTTTATTGTTTGCCCAGTACATGCATACTAGATTTTGTTTCTAGCAACACAGAAAAAACAAACATCGGCATTTTGACTCTTAATCGGTGATAGATGCAGGTGCCAATGGACAATAATTTGTCACATTTACTAATAATAGTTTCATTTTCAAAAATAGGTAGTGTTAATTCAACTATAAAATATTATATTTAGCAACTGGTTGATATTTAGAAAGTTCAGCTGACCTAAGAGGGGTAAAAGTTGTTTTAGTTTGTCGCATTGTTGCTTATTGCTTGTAATAAAATCCGTTACTGATTCGAACCTTATG